CCTATGAGCGAGTCTGGTATGGCCAAGATACAGAGCGTAGTATGGCTGAGTGCCTATGAGCGAGTCTACTATGGCAGATCAGTTACACATACTGAGCCTTATAAGCCCGGTGTTACACCCCATGTTTTCGTACGTGAAAGTACGCCATAAGTAAATTGATGAAAGCTCAGATATGAGATATTACATCCCGTATTTTTTTCGTACGTTAAAGTTTCTTCGTAAGTTAATCAACGTAAGTTCGGGATTGGGATTATTTTGAGGATACATGTATTATGCTATTTCAAACAAGGGATAGGTAAATTCATGAAAGTGAGAGGTAAACAAATCAAAGAAAATAAGTTTCGTCGAAGTTTGACAAGTTGGGATAAAATACGGTCCGAGCTATCATACTCGGATGTTATGGACTTGTGCCATACAAGGTACCACATGACCATAATAGTAAGGTGTGAAAAGTGTGTTAAAAGTGAATGGTATTTTAAATAATGTGAGATAATACCTAATTATGTGAATAATTGGGTAATTATTGGTTAATGGGGGATTAACCAATTAATTAGGAAATTAAGTGGTTAATTGTTGGATAAAGATGAGCCAAAAACGTGACAGCATTACAAGATTTAACTAAGTGACTCTTAAGTCATAAAATTTGGTGTCACAATTAGAAGAATTTGTGTCTTAGTCATTAGGAAAGTGGGGCCTACCAAGCAAGACATTGAAATAACTAACGTGAGCATCATATTGAACTCATTCAAGTAGTCTTCAAAGAATAACTCCAAGTCTCTGGACGTGAACATCATATTCAATAACTAACGTGAGCATTCAAAAAAATTCTTCAAGAATTCAAAAAAAAGAAGTGAGATTTCATACAAAGTTACACTGCGTAGTAGCAACGAAATTTGCAATCTTAAGAGAGGATGGTACAATCTTTCTCAATAACAACGTACGAATTTTTCCATACTTCGATCCGCTGTCACGTGTTCGTCACAAAAGACGTGTGTTAGAGGAATTTTCAAGAGAATCGGTCCAGGTATGTTAAGGCTATCCCTTCTTTCTTTTTAGCATGATCTGTACGATACTAACGAAACGAGAAAATACACAACTTCCATAAATGACTCTATTCATAGAAGTATTAGAGGTGCCCATATTCTTGAATTCCCATGTTTTCTATTATTTTATCATTTGTTCATGGGACTCAGAAAATATGTAAGTTGATGAAGTTTGTTTCATGATATTACTCAGAGGTATAATGGTCTTATGACACTCCGAAAGATTTTATTGACGTACTTCTCATGCATTGCATTCATTTACATTGACCCATGACTAGATGGTGTTATATACGCGTATGTATAATATATTTATATGGGATATGGGAAAAGGTTACGGAGTTATATACGCACCACCACCTGATCAGCTGGTATACGTTGATGATTTGCCCACAGTGGCCGAGATGATATGATGGGATGCCCTCAGAGGCTTGATGGTATTACTAACGCATATACCCATGTATGGTATGACATTTATATGCATATGCACGATATTATAATATTAAATGATTCACAGAGTTATTCATATATACATGTTGAGTCTTTTACTCCATGTTTCTCTCATGTCTACTAGTTACTGAATTTCATTCCTTACATACTCGGTAAATTATTTATACTGACGTCTCTTTTTGCTTGGGGACACTGCGTTTCATGCCCGCAGGTCCCGATAGACAGGTCGAGAGTCCATCAAGCAAGCTATCAGCTCAGCGGAAGATGTTGGTGCGCTCTATTTGCTCTGGAGTTGCTTATGTGGTCAGTATGATTATGATATGTACTGATTAGTATGGTGGGCCCTGTCCCGACCTTTATGACATTCATGTACTCTTAGAGGCTTGTAGACATATATCGTGTACGTGATAGATTGTATGGCCTTATCGGCCTATGATTTGAGTTTATAAATTATCATGTTGGACTATTAGGCTCGTATGTCACATGTATATAATGATGTAATAATAAAGATACATTACATTGGTACTCGGTTGAGTAAGGTACCGGGTGCCCGTCGCGGCCTATCGGTTTGGATCGTGACAAAAGTAGTAACAGAGCAGTTCTGTCCTAGGGAGTCTACAAGACGTGTCTGGTAAAGTCTCGTTTATGGGTGTGTCGTGCACCACACTTATAAGTAGGAGGCTATAGGGCATTTAGGACTGTCACTCTTTCTTTTTACTCTAGATCATGTGGTAGAGCTCAGTTGTAAGAATTCAAATTTCTAACTTCTATTTTATTCGTAATAAGACGATACCTACATCCAGAAAGACGGTTGGTAAAAGACATGGTTATGGAAGAGTTGTGTCAGAGGAACTCGACTTTGGATCATTCTTATGATAAGTAAATGTGAGGTCTTTAGGAGATCATGTGTGTACTGAAAGGTGTAAGTCTCTTGATAAGGAGTCTTGAGGCAAGAATACATATCCACCTTAATGGTGAAAGACAATGAGAGATTTAGAAGTTAAATACAAGTTTCAAAAAGCACAAGAAGTAAGATGAAGAAGTGTACGAGACGCCCAGTTAATGAAGGTTAACGGTGTTTATAATTCAGGCAGAGGAATATAAGCTTTTTGAGTTATATTCAACAGTAACAGAGGTATGTACAATTGGCCGTACCCATCTCAGTTATGCCCTATGGGGGCTTACAGGTGTAGTTTAAGAAAAGGACGGAACATCAGGATCGGGCTGGGGTTAGAATAACCCAAAATGGTGAATGGATTGTTTGTGTTAGTTGACATTTTCGAAAGGTATTACAAATGTGCTAATAGATCTTCTTGTGCGACACCTAGATGATGAACTCTATAATATTACAATTAGATGTGAATGCTAGCATGATAAAAAAAATTCAGAAGATAGGCACTAAAAGCCTAGAAGGGATAAATATTACCTTAGTATGACTCTCGTCCCTAGTAGAGCAAGGACGTTAAGCAACCCGAAGAGCTGATGGATGAAGCAAGGGGAGCAAAAAGCAAAAGAATGTCTTGCTGAAGTTTTCAGAAGAAAGGGATAGGCAAAAATATTAGCAGAGTAATGAGAAGAGAGATAAGGCAGAATTATGAGTAAGATGCGATACATGGATGGCAACGGTAGATCAAAAAGATGACGGTATTACCGAGTCCATAGTCAGGTGAAGGAAGAGACGAGAGGTGACAGGTCTTGAGACAACAAATGAGTATAGGCCATAAAGTCATATCCTCACTTCGGAAAATAAGTTTGTGACTCCAACACAACCACCGGAAGGAAACGTTGGACCCTAGAATAATAGAAATCGGTATGGGCTGGTGAACAAGATAAACTAAACATGAATTAGGAACTGAGTGATTTGGTAATAGTCAGCATCATGAGAATTTCAGACTGCATTCTGGCAATAATAGAATGGAAAACAGAAGAAGTCCCATGATGAATTCAGAGAATGGTCACTCAGGGAGACGTTTCCCTAAAGCAATAAATATGAGCAAAGTTAAGCTTAAGGGACTGTATGTGCCAGTCACACTAAGTGTCACCATCGCGATTAAGGAATTTTGTTATCCTTGGTAACAGAAGGATTCCGGCAAGGCAAGCAAAGGTCATTGATGTTGTCAAACGACACCAAAAATGAAGAGGTAAAACATCCATAGGTAGATCCTCGTGGCTTCAGCTCTTAGTACTCCCCTAAAGGGGGGAATATGGAGTGATGTGGCATTAAGTCGGAATTAAGTGGTTCTAGTGACTATGGGATGGTAAAGGAAGAATGCGATAAAAAATGAAAAAGGAATGAGATGGAACTTATCCAAATCCTACAGATATGCTACGATGCCAGTGCAAGCACGACGTCAAGGAGAGGATGTAAGGGCTTCTGCTCGAGCTGTTATTAACAAATAAGGAGCCAGTACGAGACTTAAGTTAAGACAAAGAAAATAACCCAAGAAAGATCACGCGGAATATTGAGATGAGAATGGGCCAACGAGTAGTTAGTATTTGATCAGGAAGAGCCAAGTTATGGCTAAACAGGAGGTTACAGACGAGTCAAGCAAATCGTGTAAGACGAACATAGTAAAATCCAATATAGTGAATTCTGCCTCGCAGTTATGACATCATGAACATTGAGAAATATTTAAATAGAAGTTGGGGTAGTTAAATGTACCATATGAGTGTTACGGAGATAAAAGAGAGTCCACTGGGAAGTCAGTCAAAATATCAAGCTCAGAAGTAGCCCTACAAGCACAAGGGGGTGGAAGTAAGTAACTACAGATATTTATAGGCAAGGGAGGACATCAAAAATTCCGTCAGGTGTAGACATGTAATTTTTGACCCTCCACAAGATTTTACACATTTTAGCGTACATATTAATTTAGGTGTAGTATCGCTATTCTAAATAGTGTTGACTCTTTTATTTTATTTTTATCACAAAAAATATTTTTCATCTTTAGGTTAAAGGCAATTAGTATATTCATATTTATAGTATTATAACATTTGAAAATTCAAAAAAAATTAGTTTCACTTTTAGTATTTAGTTTTATATTAGTTTATTTTAATTTAGAGTGATTTTTACATTTTTATAGATACATTGTACTATTTGATCTTCCTAGCCTAGATTCAAACCCAAAAGACATGGTCCAACCTAATTCCCTAAATCCAAGCCCAATTACCCTTAGACCATAGATCCAATCCCAATACCATAAAACTCTAACACTTTAAAAGGACCCTTCTTCTACATCTTAATACCTAGACCTAGCTAAGACAAAAAAAAAAACAGAATTCCTACAACTCTAAGCTAGTAGCGGCGGTCCAAGGTAATTGCAACATAATAGAACTACCAATTCCACGCAGATTACAGAAGTTGAATTTTCTTTGTCGTACGACACTGTGTACTGTGTCCATATTACAGATATACACAAATTTTCACCTTCTTTCGGAAATTCAGATCCCTCAATTTGCTTGATTTAATCAAACCCCTTTTCGTTTTCCTATAGTTGTTGTTGAGTATAGCCAATGGCCAATAACGAAGAATCAAACCCTCTTTTATCCCCTGAGGTGAAAGATGAGTTGAAAAAGCCCAATAATAAACCCATTATTTCTTCTGCCGCCAGCGCAATCCCAGCTACTTTTCCGATGAGGTGGAATGCGGATGGGCTTCCTATGGGCCATGGCGTTGTGGGTGTGACCAATAGGGCTCAATGGGATTTTGGCCTTTGCGCTTGTTTTGGTAGGAATGATGAATTCTGCAGCAGTGATATTGAAGTTTGTGTCGATTCGAGGTTCCGGTTTGTAATTTTGGTATTTCGGTCAAAGGATTGTTGCTTTGTTTAGCCCGATTAATTTGCAATTTTCAACTTTGTTCATCAATAAAAGGTCCATTTCTTAATTTTTATTCTCATTTCATTGTGTTATGATAGCTTGGTGCGCGTGTTGGTTGTTTTGTGATTCTACGTTGTTTGAGTAGTATGTCTTAGTTTTTCATTTAAATTGTTTTAACTAGTTTAATTTCGATTATGATGTATGTAGTCTTGGTTCTTCAATAAATGCTTTTAATCGGATATATGAAAAAAATTAGAGTTGTTTCTTCCTTGGCAAGGAATAAGAATGGGCCATAAGGTGGGTTTTGGACCATAAGGAATCTGGCCAAGTAATAGATCATGTTAGCTAGCCTATTTTCCTCCCAATAATATCTTTTTCATAAATTTGGCCTTACAACAATCTCGAACTTAGGAAATGATTTTTGAATATTCGTAGGAAATGCTTTAGGCGCGACTTGATCTATCATCGTGATTGTGTACACGTTTGTGTGACATAATTTTGATTCTAAAAATATATCGAGGTATGGGTTCGCGCAACTTCGGCCGAACTTTCTTAATAATAGTAAAAGCGTGATTAATAATGGCCGCGTACGCGTGACATGATTCTTGACGCACCAAACAAAATAAGTACACGTACGCATGACTCGTTTTAGGTTAATTTCTTAATTAAAAGCGGTAAAATGAAAAGAGCACATAGGTCCTAAAAATACATAATTAAATAATTTAATTAAGCCAGGTATATGATTAAAGCGACTGTGCTAAAACCACGGAATCCGGGAATGCCTAACACCTCTCCCGGGTAAACAGAATTCCTTACCCGGATTTCTGTGTTCGCAGACCATAAATAGAGTCAAACTTCCTCGATTCGGGATTTTAAACCGGTGACTTGGGACACCATAAAATATCCCAAGTGCCGACTCTGAATTTGAATAAATAATCCCGTTTCGATTATTGTCACTTTAATTGGAAAAACTCCCTTATACCTCTCTCGGGTGGTAAAAAGGAGGTGTGATAGCTCTGGCGACTATGCTGGGGACTAAGCCCAGAATCCCTAGTTCAGGGTTCAAGAATTCGGGCTTGTTAATGTGAATATTACTTGGCTTTATTTATTGTTGATATTACTCTATTTTGTGGACCTAATGTGCTTATTGCCGTTTATTTACCGTTTTGACATTATTTGAACTGTATTAAACTGTCTTCTTACGCCTCCCTTCTGAGTCTTCCAAAATATGGTGCACACGTACGCGTGGCTCACTTTTTTGTTAGAAGTCACACCAAATAGAACGAGGCTTAGGTCAGCAACAAGGCCGAGTAGACTTTCGTGCTCCACATACGTTGCCCCCACCTCGGCTCGAGCTGTCTGCTCGGGTAAGCCAGGCCTAGAATACAACCCCAAGTTAAACCTAGAATAACATAGCCTCATGCCGGATCCCTAGTAGGAACGTTTGTCTGCATCACATGCATTTGACCTTGGGGACTCAACACAAGGGTTGGGTCCGTCTAGGACAGGTGTACCCAAAATGAAAGACCATCCTGATGCATCTTCCGTGCTATTTGTACATTTATTTGCTTCGGCTTGTATGTTGACCGGCTAAGGAAAGAAAAATAAAAGAAAAAACAAGAGTGAGGTAGGATAGAGAATTCATCCGGTTCTGAAAATCTCGGTATTTGAAAATGCCTCGAAACTCTGCCAAATTTTTAAAAAAAAAGAAAGAAAGGAAAATGTATTTCAAAAAGCGAAAGTGAGTCAATATCATATTTTTCCAATTATGTCAAAACTGGCCGAACTACGCGGGTCTGATTCTCACCGGATATGAGATACGTAGGCAAACCTCATCGGTTCCGACCCCCAATTTTCAAAAATCCGAAAATATATTTTTCTTTACTTCCTTTTTAGAAAAGTCTTTCTTTGAGACCCCAATTTTAAAAAAAAATCCAAAATATATTCATTCTTCTTTCAAAAATCGAAAAGAAAATTCAAGATTCAAAAATATTTTCTTTTTTCTTTAGAGGCATTAATTTCACAAATTCAAAACAAAATTCCAAAAATCCAAGAAAATATTTCCTTTTTTCTTTAGAAGTTTTTCTTTCGAAATTAAAAAAAATCGAAATTCAAAAAAAAATATTTTCTTTCTTCTTTTGAAGTCTTTCTTTTCAAAAAAAAAACACTCGAAATCCAAAAATATTTTGTTTCTTCTTTTTAAGTCTTTCTTTAGAAAAAAATCAAAAATCGAAAAAAAATAGTTAGTTTATTTACTTTATTCTTAATCTTCCCGAACCACGCAAGATCTGATTCATGTTGCCACATGATATGTAGGCAACCCACATCAGGTTCGATCAACCATTAAAAAGAAAAATGAAAAATGAAAACATGAAAAAAAATTGAAAAAACATGAAAAAACAAAAGTGAAAAAATGATGATAATAATAAAGACTAACTGAGTCCATTCTAACGTGTCTTTTGTTTTGAATTGTGAAGAAAGTTTGATGTGGTCAGTTTGCGGTAAGCGGACAACACAAGATCCAAGGAAAAATGATAACTGACATCGAAGCTGTTATAATTGCTCAAGAGACTCAGGGTCGGAGGGTTCAACAGGAGTCTATTGTGTTTGAGGAAAATAGAATACTGAAACAGCAAATGACCAAAATGTGTCAAGCATGGGCCATGGCCAAGGACAGCCTTGTCATGAGTCACAATTTGCTACCCAGCAAGAGCAGTACCACTCTCCTGAGTACCACTCATACTTGCTTGATCTTCCTTCAAACATTAAGAAGCCTGCCCGAAAGATGGCACAGGAAGAAATGACCCAAAGTGTGAAAAGCTTAGAACGACGGGTGAAAAACATGCAAGGGTTGGCAGGCCAGAAGAGTATTGCCTTCAAGGATCTATGTATGTTCCCCGATGTCCATTTGCCGTCTAGTTTGAAGACTCCCAAATTTGAAAAGTATGATGGACATGGAGACCACATAGCCCACCTGAAAAGGTATTGCAATCAACTAAGAGGTGCGTGAAGAAATGAAGAATTACTAATAGCTTATTTTGGGGAAAGCCTTACGGGAGTAGCATCCAAATGGTTTATGGATCAAGACACATCTCGCCGGTACGTCTGGGATGACATGGCATAGGCCTTTGTCAAACAGTTCTAATACAACATTGACGTCGCCCCAGACCGCAATTCCCTTTCAAACCTGAAGAAGAAACCAACTGAAAGTTTCAGGGAATATGCCATTAAATGGACAGAGCAAGCAGCTAGAGTTAAGCCACCCATGGATGACCACGAGCTAATCACTGTCTTTCTTCAGGCTCAAGAGCCAGATTATTTTCAAAACATGATGTCCGCAGTGGGTAAATCCTTCTCGGAAGAAATCAAAATGGGGGAAATGGTTGAGAATCACCTTATGACAGGATGAATTATAAGTAAAGTAGCTCTCAAAGCCGCAACTCGGACTGTCCAGATTAAATCTGATAATTTTTGGGACACGAATGAGAAGGATGAAGAAACCATGATGATATCAGGGTAGAGAAGAGGTCCTAGGAGAGCATCTCGAAGGTATGACCAGCCTTGTGTGTTTTCCGATGATGCTCCTGAACACTACTATCCACCTAAGAACCTACAATACTCTGTTGCTCCACCTCAGTATGTTGTCCAGCCACCAAAACACCCCAAAAGGCGAGCACCATCACCTCATAACCTCCAGCAGCCTCCACAAAATTTTCAAGTGCCCTATAACCCATGTCCAAGACATGGGTATAGAAGGGAACAAAGTTTGAAAGAAAATTTTACACCAATAGGAGAGTCCTATGCAAGCTTATTTGAGAAGTTAAAGCATTATGACATGATTGCACCCATTCCTCCAAATCATGTGGACCCACGTGCAAGAAGCTTTGACCCTTCTAAAAGGTGTGAATGTCATTCCAATGTCTAGGGGCACAATGTTGAAAGTTGTCGGGATTTGAAAAGAGAAATAGAAAGGATGATCCAGGAAAAACTGATTGTGATCCAAGATAGTGACACCCATAATATCACGCAGAATCCTTTACCTGCACATGATGATGCACACTCTGTGGGGATCATGCCTGGTGACATGGAGAATGAGAATCCACTCAGGAACTTGCCGACTAAAATTGGAGAAGGCCATGGTGATTCTGATGAGCAAATTTGTGGCTAAATGTCAAGCTTAGCAATTGAAAAGTCATTCCCTCCTCACTAGGAAGGAATCTTGGTAGCTTGTTTTGATGTTTTTTCTATTATCTGGGTTATTTCAGGGTTGTGATCCAGATTTTATTTGTTTTATTGAGTCAAACCCTTGTATCCCTCCACTCTGTCTGTGTGAGTCTTGTTCGTTTGTTATGTTGCTATTTTCATTATTCGGGTTAATTTAGGGTTGTAACTCGGATTTTAGGTTGTTTGTCTTGTTGTCAAACCCTTTCATCCTTTACTCAATGAAATACAGTTAGTCTTTTTGTGTCATTCTTTTCTTAGTTCTTTTCTCGCTAGTTCTAATGACATGACATGCATGCGGAAATTTTGGCCAGATCTTAGAAATTGATTAAATCTGGAATTTGATAACTGAGAAAAAAAAATACTTTTGAGGATGAATAAAAAGTTGAAATACTTTGGAATTAAGGGCGAGTAAAATTCACCTTCAAATAATTGTGAAGATCGGGCTTGGGATATCGAACCAATTTAAGCCTAGTCGAAAGTTTGTCATTAATGGATGGAAAGTATTTTTCGAGCACAACACACCAAGAAGACAGACATGCTCATTAATGTTGTGATCGCAAAAGGATACTATGTTTAACATTCTCAAGGCTGGGAGGCCCTTTTTCTGCTACCTAAACACTTTATACCCTTTATCACCCCTTTGAGCCTACGTTATTATTCTTTGACTACCCTCTTTTGGAATCAAGTTTAGACTTAAAAGTCTAATAAAATAAAAATGAAAAAATAATGAAGAAAAAGTCCATGCCCCAAGAGTACAAACTGGGGCAACTCTCAGAAGGTTAAAAAAAAAACTCAAAGGTTCATGTCCTCAGAAAATAAAAGCTGGGACAATTTGTTTTGAAAAGAAAAAGAAAAAAAAGAGAAAAAAAAACACAAAAAAAAAGGAAGATGAAAAAAAGTTAGGTCAGATGTTTGAACTACGTTAGACCTG